GGGGGCTTAGGCGGCAGGCGCCGGGGCACCGCACGACGGCGGGCGGCGAGCCGAGGGTGGTGCTGCCGCCTCCGCCAGCGCTTCCCGGTCACTGCTCTGCCTGTGCCCGGCGGGGAGAACGGGACTCGCCGCAGCGGCTGGAAGCGGGGCGGGGGTGGCGGTGTCCTCCGCGCTGGAGGTCTGGCCTGGCAGGCTGGGGGAAAGCGGACTCGTTAGTCGAGAGGTTCTGGGTTTTGCTTCTCTTCTTTTTAATATTTGATTCCAAGTCGTCACGAGTATGGTAGCACACGTTCATGACTATAGAGTTAAGGGCATTTGAAAGGCTGCTTCCTTTTGATGACTCGGGTGGATATTTATTTTGCAGTTGGGAAGATGCAGGAAAACTCCGTTTAGTGCAGTAAGGTATTTAACCGAGGGGCATCAAAGCAGACACGTGCAGTGAGAACACACGGTGTGCTTTATACTGTTGCAGAAAAGCAGCTCTAACAGTGAATTTGCGATGCCAAAACCATAGCTGTTTTCCTTCTTGGAATTCCTGTATTTCCTCCCCAGTTCATGCAGTGCTCAGAAGAGCGTCAGCCAGGTAAAGGTACTCCCAAGTCATCCTTGCAGAACCTGACTTCCAGCCAAAGGGCAGTGCTTCTCCATGAAAGGGACAGATTTGCATTTCATGGAGAACTGCTGTCCTGCTCTGCTGATGCTGGGTATGCAGCAACAGTTTGCTGCATGCTGTTACAGAGGATATTCATATAAGTCTTGGAGGTGGCAGTGCCTTGTGGAAGATGATCTGTAGTGTTTAGAACTACATACTTCCCCTGGTCCTCAACTGTGAAGGATACGTTCAGGTGAAAATTCTACAAATCTGTAACTAATATAGCTGTCATTTAGTCTTAATTAACATCAAGCACGTTTTTCACTGAATCTAAGGAATTTTTAGAAGTTAGTTGTATTGCGCGTTGCTAAACATAAAATATTTTTAGCGTTGATACTGAGATAAATTAGTATGGTTTACTCTCTCAATTTTGAATTTCAGTTTAATTTCTCTGCAGTTAAAATCCTACAGCAAATACCTTCTCTATGCTGAGTTACTTGTAAATAAAGGCAAATATTTTCCCTTTTATATTGCATATAAATCCCTGAGAGTTATTTTAAGTACTTGAGAGAATGGTTTTTATGAACCTTTGGTAACTTTGCACCAACTGCTAGACTAAATAGTTCTTTTCACATGAACAGAGGTTGCATTTTGGCGAGTAATATGTTCTGTCTTTGGCGTGTTCTTTTCTTTGGCTTATAGATTTTCACTGAGGGAAGCAGCTTTCTTTTGCTGGAAAAACTAATGGAAGGCCTCGTAGCCGTCACAGCTTGTTAGTTTAGCACACATGGGACTCCCACTTGAGAGGCTTGGGAATTGGATAGTTATCCAATCCTTCTGTGAAGTGAGCCTGGCAAATAGGGGACTGCACGTTTAAAAATTATTTACTGGTACAGTTAGCTTTGACAACAGTTGACTCTAAAGGGGGATGCCTAATACTTAACCACACACTTAAGATTATTAAAGGCATAGAACTTAGGTCAAAGAAAAGCACAAAAGTGTTAAGCCATAGATGTGCAAACTTTACTAAATCAATTTTTTTCAGGGAAACATTTGAATGGAAAACAGGTTTGTCTTGTCTTAGCTAGTCATGGTATCCTGCAGGAGTTTTGCCTTGAAGTCTTCTGAAAAAAACAGTTCACTTTAAACCCAGAACTTCTTGCAGATTCTTCTGCAGCCTTATCAGGCTTTGTGTAATTTTCAAAGAATAGGTAAAATAGTTTCACTAATCACCTGCTTATCTACTAAAAATACCTTCTGAAAACCATTTTCCTACAGCTTAAAATTGAAAGATCTAATTAGTGGAATCCTACCTAGACTTTGGAATAACTTTTACCCATTACTCCAAAAATGCAATTTAAAAAGTACAACTTAAAATACATCATAATGTTTTTTACTTGAAAGTGTTGTCATTTCATATCCTTTTTCTTGCAGCACCTGCCAGTGTTCGTTGGGTCCATAATGATGTCGTGGTACCTGACTTCTCTGCCTATCGTCGTCAAGACGTGCTAGATGCCACCACATCTTCTCAAAGCAGCAGTGAAGCTAGAAAAGGGTTTTCCTACCTGGTGACTGCAACAACATGTGTAGCAACTGCATATGCTGCTAAAAATGTTGTCACCCAGTTTATTTCCAGCCTGAGTGCCTCTGCTGATGTGCTAGCGTTGTCAAAGATTGAGATCAAGTTATCTGACATTCCAGAAGGCAAAAACATGGCTTTCAAGTGGAGAGGGAAGCCCCTTTTTGTGCGTCACAGAACCCAAGCAGAGATTAATCAGGAAGCTGAAGTTGATTTGTCTAAACTGAGGGATCCGCAGCATGACTTAGACAGAGTAAAGAAACCAGAATGGGTCATATTAGTAGGTGTCTGCACTCATCTTGGCTGTGTACCCATTGCTAACTCTGGAGATTTTGGCGGTTATTACTGCCCTTGCCATGGGTCCCATTATGATGCCTCTGGCAGAATCAGGAAAGGTCCTGCTCCCTATAACCTTGAGGTTCCAACTTACCAGTTTCTTGGTGATGATGTAGTGGTTGTTGGCTGAATAACGAGGTGATTGCTCACTTTCATGTTCCTGTGAATGTACACTCAAAAGGGTTAACAGATTCTGGAATACCGTAAAACCAGATGATCCTAAAAACATATTAGCTGTGTAGATTCTCAACCAGAAGTATGTTCGAATACTTCCCTGTGTTCAATTTTAATAAAAACTTGGAGTAAGCACTTGTTCCTGACTTGTGTATGGACTTCCAGTGTGTCTAGTCAGAGAGATACTACAGCAGACCCAGAATATGTTTATGGAGCCCTCCTGAAGGGCTGCAGATTCAAGATAGACACTGAACCACAAAGCCATTGTTTCCTTCATATCACATGTTTTCATTATTTTTATTTTTTTGTTGTTTTTACTGCGTTATGGGAAGGAACATCTAAAAAAGATCTTGCTGTGAACTTCTAACAGTGTTTGGAGTAAGTTTCAATATAGAATCCTATGAGATGTAATCCTTCTCCTTTCAATGTATTTTTTTTGTTTGTTTTCAAAGGAATTGAAGGAAAAAGTAAATAAAAACCTACCTAGAAAGAAAATTCTTTTATGTTGTTCAGAGGCAGCTTATAATTGTTTAACTAGAATGATAGCAATGTAATTTTATTATGATGTGGACAAAAATAAGCATGTTGTGTTAGAATTATAAAATTATTTTTTTACTTGCAGATAAGGCTTGATCTTATGCATATCTAAACATCAGATCAGGTGCTTAGGACACTGGAAAATTTGACACTTTTCCAAAAGAAGTAAGTTGAGAGGGAAGTAGAATTGGAAATCCCAAGTTTTACAGAAGGTGAAAAATAAATCATATGAACAACTCAGTCTGGACTAATCTCCAATGTTGAACATGGCAAAAGGTTGAGATGCCATCAGAGGTATTTTAAGACTCATTGATTTGTGTGAAAATTATCATTTCATATTGCTGTCGTGGTTTAACCCCAGCCAGCAACTAAGCACCATGCAGCTGCTCACTCACTCCCCCCCATCCAGTGGGATGGGGGAGAAAATTGGGGAAAAAGAAGTAAAACTCATGGGTTGAGATAAGAACGGTTTAATAGAACAGAAAAGAAGAAACTAATAAAATGACAACAGTAGTAATAAAAGGATTGGAATGTACAAATGATGCGCAGGGCAATTGCTCACCACCTGCCAACCGACACCCAGCCAGTCCCTGAGCGGCGATTCCCCGCCCCCACTTCCCAGTTCCTATACTAAATGGGACATCCCATGGTATGGAATACACCGTTGGCCAGTTTGGGTCAGGTGCCCTGGTTGTGTCCTGTGCCAGCTTCTTGTGCCCTGGCTGGAAAAATCCTTGACTATAGTCTAAACACTACTGAGCAACAACTGAAAACATCAGTGTTATCAACATTCTTCACATACTGAACTCAAAACATAGCACTGTACCAGCTACTAGGAAGACAGTTAACTATATCCCAGCTGAAACCAGGACAATTGCCTACAGGCTAAGCCCACTAAAGGCCAAAATTTTGGCACCCCTCTTACCTTGACGCTGACTCTGAAGGCATGGAGAAACAAATGCAGCCTGAAATAGATCTTTTAAATAGCCTTGATCCTGCCAGTACAAAACAAAGCTAGCAATTAATTGCCTACAGTATATCAGGAGAAATAATGTTTGCTGTGACCAGAACAAGCAAAAAACCCAAAATGACACCAAACTATCTTGTATTTCCTGTTTGCTTCCCATTTTTTACTGCTGTTCTGTGCATGCTTCTGTTTTGCACTGCATCGATGTGCTCCCTCCTGTTGCAAAATAGAAAATACAATCCTCAGAATTCCCTGGGTCTGGAATGTTTAGCCTCACATATATCTCTAAAGCTGTGATGACAGTTGGGTTAAAGCTGAAGTTTTAAATAATCAGAATATTGATGCATTTGGCTCACCTGTTCTCAGACAATTTAGTGAAAAGATGACCATAGATAACTATTACAGAAATTCATAGGTATGCATTTTACACCATTTCATAAATTTGAGCTTTACACCTTATTACTATGTCCACAAAAACATTCTCAAGAACTTTTTTTGGTATAATGAATCATGCTAAACCAATACTGATGTTCCCAAAGTTGTATCTAAATAATTGGTATTCATGTATGTGCCTTGTATTATAGGGTTGATATTTCCTCAGATTTTCTATTTCAAGGAAAAAAGCTTAGTAACTCCTAAAGTAACATTAGAGCATTGTTTATCTGCTCACAAGTGGCTACTCTCACCTCATCCTAAAAATGTTTTTTTAGCCCACAGGTACATTATTTAGGCCTAATCTTTGTTTACATAATCACCAAGTAACTGTGGTACCAGTAAACTTGCCCCCTGTAAAGCAAGGAATGGCCAGGGCTGTTTCTGAGTTGGCAAGTGAACACAGTGAAAGCTATAGAGTAGTTATGTCGCAGCTGGGCTTAAAGGGTCATGCATAAAATTACTTGCACAGAATAAGCTGTTACTTAAATTAATCAAACTGACTGGACCAAATCTTGCCAATTACAGCTAATGCAGCACCATGACATTGAACATGTTTGAGAACAAACTGGCAGCTTTTACTGTGAACATGAGATGCCAGCAATACCCTTATTCACCAGACTGATGACATAACAGTTGAAGCTGAAGTATTGCTTATATTATAAGCTTATAATATAAGCTTATTGCTTAGTGCAGATCTGATAGTCTCCATCCTCTCTTCAGTTCAAGACTTTGTTCTCTTTGTAGTGACAAAAAGATCATTCCTAATGGGCCAAGCGTGCCCTAGAAAAGAATCAGGATTAACTAGAATTTGAGAATTAAAGAGTTAATAGCCTCAAATCTCCAAACCCACTCAGTTTGGTATTGGAAGTATGGTTGCAAATTAAAAACCGTGAAATTTCATCTGAACACGTTAAAATACTTTTTTACTGTTAAGGTTGTGAAACACCGGAATAAGTTGCCTGGAGAGGTTGGGGAGTATCCATGGAGATACTCAAATCCAACTGGACAGAGTCCTGAGCAAACTGCTTGTGTGAGGGAGTTGGACTAGATCATCTCAAGAGGTCCCTTCCAACCTCAGCGATGCTGTGATTTGCAAGGAATAATGTCTAATTATTGTATAGTCTTCTCTGGGATCAGAAACTCCAGAAGGCCCAAACTCCTTGAGGGGGAAGCATGACTCAAGCAAGGGTAAAACTCCACATAGTTACGTGCTGATTGCCAGTAATGAGCTCATAATTACCCTGTGGGCTAAGACATCCTTGGAAGGAGGTCTCGCTACTGCTACTAATTACAAACATTACCACCATACAAATGGGTAATGTTACCCTTTTCATGGCTAGTGTACCCCGTGGGGCTGGAAGTACAAGTGTTCAAGTACACAGAAAAACACTTTATTAAATTCTGAAGATTCATTGTATTAATAAGAAGCAGTGGCTTGCTGGGCTTTACTACGTCTCTGTACTTCCACTTTGACTCCCTCCACTTCACTAATGGCCTTAACGGGGCTCTGTTCCTAACATCAGATCCTTTTCACTTAAACCGTTTGCCAGCGAAAACAAAAATCAAACTCGGGAGATTTCACCTAGCTAATAGGGCACCTTTCCCCTTCCAGAAATGTATGAAGCCCCACTTCTCTCTTCACATCTGGGGTTTCCTCATATTTGTGTAAGACAATTCTGTGCTCTGTACCATTTTCTTTTTGAGCAGCAGTATGAAGTCACACTTTCCCCTGTGCCTCATACCGTCAGCCATATGATCAGTCTGCTTCAGCCAGCCTGGCCAGCAACATTCGCTGCTGTTGACTTGACATGGTGGCAGGAGCTAAAAGCAAGGACAGTCTGATGCTGGTACAGGTTTGCCAGGTTGATCAGTGTTAAGGCCTGATGTTTTTCAGCAGCAAAGTTGTAAAGCACAAGCCTATGCCAGAGAGAAGAGCTGCACTGACTGCCTTTCAATTGTGTGCCTCTTAGGAAGGAGCAGCCACATGTCTGTTTCTTCTCATCTAGCTACTTTTTCTCCTTTAGAACAGAACAGTCTTTATGAAGTTGCTGACCAGAGTTCATGTTTATTTAATAAAAAAAGTTCTTCAGATAAGGGGAATAAAGATACTAAAACCAAAACATAATTTTTAATATTTGACATTTCAAAAGCTTTGTCTTTCCTTATCTTTAGAAGAGGGACAATATTTGTAATTAGTGCAGAGACTCTAAACAGAAAATCAGAATATTAAGTCATTTTCATGGCTAAATAACACATGGGGTTTTTAACCCTTCTGATTTGTTAGGACAGTTTCCCACACTGTACAGTCATTAACGTATGTTCTTGCAAACCAAATGAGGCAGCATTCTCAAAGGCCATGCTGCACAGCAGCACAGTTATCAAGGACACTCTTGCCACTGACCACCAAAAAAATCTACATGAAGGAGAAATTCCTAAGCAGTTAAGGTATAGCTAAGGAACACAGTAGTCAGTTCCCCAGTTAAAGGAGCATTCAGCATCCAAGCAATACATTTCTTATCAGTAGAAGTGACAAGTGACAGAATAATAATGACCCTTCTCCAGCCCTGAAAAAGGAAAAAGTAAATAATTTATAGAGGAAGGAGAGAGTTTAAAACTACTGGTGTCCTCCATGGATAAGATTTTCTCAGCTAACTACAGATGATGTTTATTTTATGTGTTAATTGCTTTTATCCTCCACAAGCTGGTAGCACCATGCATTATTCAAATGATTCACATTCTAAGACAATTTTTGATTATTTATAGTGTTGGGAAGCTCTGGCTGTGATCTGTATTAACTGTGCCAGGTTTCCTGCTTTCAAGTAATTTCTTTTCCTTATGTTTCAGTAATAGTTTTGAAGAGATGGCTAAATGAAAAATACCCTTCATGTTAATAATGCAGGTGATCCTGACTCTGAAGGACTTTAGCACTTCATGTCCATTAAAGTCTTGCAGTTTTGCTGACCAGTATACATTCTGCAATCACCATGAAAATCCAATTTTTCTCTTGTTATAACCTTTTAAAAATATGCCATTTACACAGGCTCAGATCAAAAGTATCCATTAATCTGGGGGCCTGGTTTGATACACCTAGAATCTTGTGCTGATCAGGGTGGTTCCCCAGGCTGTAGCACCTAATATAGAATAGAGTTCCCACTGATTCAGCTACCATTGAAAGTACTTGACAGTCCACAAATCATGATTTTAAGT